CTCGTGGATTTCCACTAAGGATGTCCAAGGGAGCGCGCCATGAGCCGGGAGCGCGTACAAACCTCGCACTGTCAAGTTGATGATTTTGAGAATATACATGTGAATGCATGTGGATTTGAAATAGTAATGAAGTTATACAATGGTATTGATCATTTATATAGGCTTGTATTGGTCGAGAGCTGGATTTTTAAAAAAGTGGTCAAAAAAAGCTCACCATGTTATTCTTATGGGGAAAACGTGCCTAAAGTGATGTCATATTGCTAGTTCGCCACTACTACTGCATGCTGAACATTCTCGATAAGATGTTTAGTGGGACAATCTGGGAGGATTGTTGTCTGTGTTTCTCCTGATATATATGCTGAAGGAGGACGCGTCAGAATGCGAGAAGGCTTCATGACGACACTCACACAATCACTAGGCTGCATGACACAATATGACAGACTACTGAAGATATGTCTGAAGAATGTAGGAACTTTCGCTCCACTAGGTGCCCCGTTATCACAGTTATGACCGTAGGGAGGAGTAAGTTTTGATATTGATTATTTTCGGACCGTTGTTTTAGCATAATCATGAATACGATAAGCATTGCAAATGTTGTAACCACTTTTTTGTTGGGAGCAGAATGAAGTCGTGAATAATTTTTCCATCCCAGTTTCAATACCTTGAATCATATTTTGTTGTTTTCTAAATTCTAGAGTTAGTATTTTGAAGCAGAATTTGTGAAACTGTTTTAAGGACTACGTATGAATGCTCTATAGTGAATTGTTATTTTCTCCTATTCCGACTCTTCAAACTAAATTAATTTTAAAAGAATAATTTGAAAATTGTATTATATGTTCTACAATAATGAATGACCAATTAGTGACATTAGGAACTTAATTGCGTCAACAGCGCATTCTATTGGTAGCACAAGCCATTCACAAAACACCTTGATTGACTTAAATAAACTGCTTACTGGTCCATATAGATGGGTAAAATTCAGTTTCCTTAGTCAATGGTTTCAGCTAAAGTTAAAATTTACTTTATGAATAACAGATACTAAATCGTGTTGCTTTTTCATACAATTCTTATAGGAGCGAATAAACAAATATCTATAATTTAGCAAGAGTAAGGTATATAAAATACGACAATGTAATACATTACTCCAAGAAATCATAGTTAATTTAAAACTAGACGCAAAATAAAAAGGTAATAAAGGAACATAGATAGAAAAAAGAAATTAACAGATCAAGAAATTAACTGGTTTCAATTAAAGTAAACAATTTCGATGGACCAAATTAGGCTCAGCTCCCCTAGGACATAAATTGACTCTTTTCGATTAAAATTACACCTTTTTTCCTTGTGATGAAAAATAGTTTTCGTCATATAGCAACATTCTTTAACAAACTAAATTATAAAATGAAAACCTTTTCATGTAAAGATACAATGTTACAATTACTTTCAGCTTGTTTTAAAATTCTGCTAATGCAAACAAACAGCTGTTTAGTAAGTGATTCAATGATTTCGTCTATCGATATGTTGAGCTATTGACAAGAATGCAACAATAAGCTACAACCAATTTAATCAATCGATATACGTAATTTATATTTTTAAGATTGCTTACAACTTTAGTTTACAACAGTTGACTTATGCTCCCTAGGGACTAAAATGCTTTCCAATCCCTAGGGTTCAAAATAGCTACTTTAGGCCCAAAACGCATGTATTAAAATCAGCTGTTTTTGCTGCAGTATGACGAAAAGTTAATTTATACAATTTATAGCGTGCAACAAAGTTTTACAATTGAGTTAACATAAGTTACCGTGTTATGTTTGTGGAGAAAGTAAGGGATGTGGTTAGACGTGCCTGAGATGCTATGATGGATGGGTGTACAATTATATCCATTACTTTGTTTTCCCTGAGAATCTCGCTACAAAGTAGAGAATAAGTAGAGAGCTTGAGTTGTTTACTTATAATATTATGAATCAGAAGTATTTCATTGAACTGGACTGAAATTCCAGCCCAAGTCCAGGTAACATGGACACGGTTAAAACAAAGAAGTAATCGTGTCCTTGATTACCCAATACTTCTTAAATGAAATAAATATTTCTGTTTCCATGAAATATGAATTTTTGTCTTGTAGTATTAAAAGTGTGCTCAGTATTTATATTTTAGTTGAGTATTTCACAGTTAGTTAAGCTATGTAAAATTCAAAATAAAAAAACTGAAAATTCATAATTTTTATTCTATCTATGGTTTAACGAAACCTTTGCTTAGAAATTGAATTAGCAAAGATTAAACTTAAATTTATTGATATAATCAGTAAAAATAAAGAAGGCTTAGTATTCTTATTTGTATTCTTTTCTCAGACAACCTTTTCTTGTGGTGATTTTTAAAATTGCTAAATTTGTAAAAAAACATTTGAGGGGTTAATTTTTTTTCATTTCGTTTCTTTCTGTTTAATATTTAAACAGTTTTTAGTATAAAATTAACGTTCCTTTCTGCATGGAAATATTGGTAAAGAATAACAACGTTATTGTCTAACAAATTCTGCTTCCCCAGGGCAGGACTCATTTACACATCAAAACTCGAGGCAAGCGAAAACCCCACTTGTGGTTAATTAACTTCCCTTAAGGGGTTTCAATTAAACCCTTAATGAATATTTTTAATATCCAACAAAATACTTTAACGTATGGTTGGTTGGTTGAAATTAATTTTTAATAAAATAAAATTACAAAAATGAACATTATTTATAAACGTGTAGAAAATTTATAAAATATTACCTACATACTTAAGGTTGAAACTAATTAAATGGTGGATTTCAAAATGTACATTCTTTAAACATGTAACAAATTTACAAAAGATCATATACATAAGGTAAATTATAACATTAAAATACTGTAGACCTGTGTGAGAGATAGAGAAGATATATTTGGAATAAAAGTGTATTTTTCAAAATAATTATAAAAAACCTCTACTGATATTTTGCCACACCTGTTTTACATGTATGTTTATTAACATATCAAACAAAACGTATAAAATTAATATGATATAGAAATTTTGGAATGAATGAACCCTACAACAAGTAAGTAAGAACATGGTTTGGTGATAATAATATCCTCAAACTAAGGACCGCGAAGATACCACAACTATCACTCAATTACGTCACAACCATGATCAAAAATCACCCCTGATAACAATGCACCTGTTGTACTTTCTCGATACAGTAGATAACATGACCTTTCTCTTCTCAAGGTCACTGCTCTGTCCTTTCTCCTACTTTCTGTCGGCTCCGAACCACGATAATCTTCATATTTATCTTAGGCGAACCGAGTTTATATGATCAAAATCTTGAGTGTGATTTTGAGCCCAATGCCAAAACGGCTATATGAGTTTCCCTAATACGTTGGTGATTTTTGAGCCTTGGATATTCTTAGAGCTTCCGTAGTGGATGCTTTATTTAATACTAAAAAATGGCGACCATACGAATGTAGTTATTTAACCAAGTAAGAATGGAGGTGAGTGTAGGATGAGTGGCGTTATCTTGTAGTCTTGTTAGTGACTACAGTCTAGTTAGTGTAGTCTTGTTAGTACGTCCAGAGTGCACGCCGATTCAGATTCAGATTCCGATTCAGATTTTCGGTGGCAGGAATGGCACTTGCCCGCACTTGCATTCAAATGGAAGTGCAGTCAAATGAACGTTTAATATGCCAATTCTATAAGAAATCGTATATATTTGGTACATAATAATTAAGATAGAACAGATTATATGTCTTTCCATGACGAAAATTACCGAAGGTGTGTACATGTACACTGCACACAACTCGCGTTATGATTAATAAATTTGCAGGTTTTATTCAATCATAATTTATGACAATACATTATTAATATTAAACAATCATAAAACTGAAGGCAGAAACGTGTACACGTAGATCCGAAACATCCTGTTTTCCAATTACTATATTTTCAGGAAAATTGTCGTCTTTTCACAGTATTGTATAACTTTAAACATGCCATTATAATTGGTCCAGAAGCGGGTTATTATTACAGTTGATACTTCGCCAATCAACCAATGGTATTCACAGAAAGTTTAATGACGAGCTTGCCATTTAAACTTCGTCTAGCTTTATAACTGTCATCAAAGTCTCATCGCCTGTTTTACAATATGACATTGGCTCTTGGGAATTGATATTTTAAAGTGATCCTATAGGTATTCATATATAAAGCCCAAAGTACCCATGAACTTTTGAGAAAACTACAAGTCACACCCCCATAAACCATATACTAAAATATTAGTAGTGTGAATGAATAAGAATAATTTTGATGTATACTAACGATTATTTATTATTTATACTAACGACGATTTTATATACTGTTCTATAATAATACTGTAGTCTATATTATAAAAAAAAACTAGTGAATGAATTTAAATAATAGTTAAATAATAGCAACTTAAGTGAGCAAAACACAAAACAGCAAGGGGCAACACCAAAAAAGTTGTTGTGTTATTTTAATTTTTTGAAATTTGTTCATCAGGATTTTTTTAAATATGTTCTGTAAAAGAATTATGTTAATCGGTAATCAATAGGCATTTTATATGCAGTTTTAATACTAGACCAAAACTAGAACTAAGGAATGAAAGCCTTATGCATATACCACCTAGTTCATAAAAATGTTATTACAGCAAAAGTAAATATATTCACAATTAACTAACACAATACACCATTGAAATAATCCAATTGTAGACTTTAGATAATAGCATAATAATATGTATGATATATGATTGTACGTGTACGTCATCATTTTCAGAGATGTAAAGTTGACAGAGAGTGAGCGATTGGTGAATCGCGGACTTTGGTCACCAAGGTCCCGGGTTCAAATCCCTTCAATAACCAATAGATTTTATCGATTGTAATACACCCACTAATCGATTAAAACCCACTAATCCTAGCCTGAAGTCATGTTAAATCACTTTCGAGCTAGAGCCCAACATCCAAGGATATGAAAGGTGGGACAATACTTACATCTCTCAGCAGGTCTCTGAGTCGGTCGAGTCGGTCCTCTTGTCCCCTGGTTGGCAGATACCTCCCCTCCGTGATGGCGGCAAGGGTGAGAACCAGGCACAGACATACCACTACCACAGGCCGAACTGCCATCTGCAATACAGGAAAGTCAAAAAAATAAAATTTGTAACACCAAGAATTAAATTTCCCAGCCCCGAACCTTTTTTAAATTTTGATACTAAATCGACAACTTTAGAAGATAAATCTTGTAAGTGGATTTTACTATTGCCATTTTACTACGAAATAATAATTGTATACGTTATAAAGAGAAAAATCAGATTTTGGTATACAAATAATTAGGCCTAACCAATAAACAAATCTTTGATGACAAATGCTGTGACTTTTTGCAATGCTTATTTTATTGACAAACAAAATCAAAGTAGACAATACTATTGTAACTTGAAAAATCAATAAGGTTTTGTGCTATAATTAGTTTAAATAAGCAGATTCACCCCTAATGTAACAACACTTTTCTTCAGAGTGTTACAATTATATTCGCCATTATTCAATTGACATCAACATTTCTTTGTCACTTTCAGTATTCTGTTCATGAAAATTCTGTTTTAAAAATCGCTTTGTTTATCCCTATATAAATTCCAAAGTACCCATGAACTTTTGAGAAAACTAAAAGTCACACCCCCATAAACCATAAACTTAATATATTTGTCATGACGAGAAACCTTGCGGATAAATATCCACTAATTTATAAATTGCCCATTAAGGTCGTAATTCCTTTCTAAGGGGACCTTTCCATATGCATAATGTTAAAAATGTCTCAGCTGTACTTATTTAATTGTTATTCTTTCAATTTATTACCTTATTACAATCTGATGTGATTATTTGTTTGTTTACTGTATTCTGTTTTTTTTTTTTTTAGCTTAAACCAACCAATAGTTTTATTATACTTATAAAGTCAAACGGGGTGAAACCCGTGGGTAACAGCTAGTTCTCTTTTGAAAACACAATGGCTTAATGGATTATTGTAGAAAGTCAGAATTGTGTATATATCAGAAATTTTTGTTGTTCCATTCCAATAATACACTACCTATTTAAGATCACAAAACGGCACGAATCTCCTGTTTAAAATATCGATAGTTCCTTAAAAATCATAAACTATTTAACATTAAGGTATTACAAATTTTAAATAGTTTATGATGTATACACATGAACTTCCATAACAAGTTCTAATGTATTCAGTACGATAATAAACAGAAATGTATGTTTTAATGTATTCAAAAGAAAAATTATTGACACAAACACTGTTAAGTGACGTTTAAAAAACACAAGCCAATATTATTTTCAGAACGAAACTAAGCGACGTAACAAGGAATAAAGTGGTGTTGCATCATACAGTTTGATTGCACAGTTACAGAGTCCAGTGTAGTTTATATGCATGCGATTCACCGCGATTTATTGCAGACCACCAGTTTATAGTTATAAAAGAACTTCAGGGGCAAAAATCTTTTACCATAAAGTAACCCTCTCAGGGGGTAGTAGCTTTTCTGCTTATCATAATTTGCATATAAGTTAAAGCGCTTCGTTAGCCTAAATAATCTGTCAGTGTCCTCCTAAGAACGAAAGTACTCTATAAAAATTGTATGTTATCTAGTTGTTGTTTAGTGTTGGATCACTTAAAGACTCTATGCAAGATTAAGATGGAGACTCCACCTATGTGCGTATTTTAACCCAAATATGAGTGAAGGATGAGTGTACAATGGTGTGAGATGATCTGTGTAGTTTTGTTAACCATCAGCGGTTTCACTAGCCTGGATCAATTATTTAAAGCCCAATGATCACGAACAGCTAGGTCCATTTTTGAGCCACCAAAATGTTACTGACTTTTCTCCGAACGGGTGACCTATTGTTTGTTAGGCGAGCACTTTAACCAGTTATTCTATGGTGTTGATTGTGAGACTCTTCTTTCTTTGGTGTCTGGTCCTTGTGGTTGGTTGTATTTAGACCCGTGTCATACATACATACATATATATATTGTGTGTGTGTGTGTGTGTGTGTGTGTGTGTGTGTGTTATCTATTTTTTTTAACAAGCTGTTATCAGAGCCCACGTGCCTAAAAATCAATCAATGTAAAATGTATACATTTTCTTATTAAAATAATGTTTAATAACGCATGAATCTAATTGATACTTTTTTTATTGATTAGATGAATACTTAATAAGAATATGGATTATTTTATGCTAACCTACTTAATAAAATATTTTACATTTGTATTATATACTAGTTTATGAAGTGATTGTGCTCTTCATGAAATGGAAAATATCGGTTACCAACAGTGCACCTTTTTTTATATATTCTAAAACTATTAGACTAAATTAATGAATGGTTTGATTTTTTTTTTACAAAAATAAACAATTATCATATATAAAAACCATAAAGAACTAAAAATACTCCATTACTAAAAATAGTTCAAATCGATTTTCTTTTGATATCATTATATTATATTGTTCGAACTCAATGTGAACCCTTTAACTCGTCCTTGATTGTATCAAAGGGTTCATATGGAGGTACTAGTATTTGTAAGCAAGAGAATACTAGCAAGAGAATTTTATACCCAACCAAGAATATAAGTTGTTACTCCTCTGAGAGTGCTTACGGTGTTTTTTAATCAAAGGAGAATGTCCTTAAGGCTTACATATTTTAAACGAGGGTTACTATTTATTTGGATAGTGAGTTGAAGAATTTCAAATATACAAATTATATTTGTTCAATATGTGATAAATTTATGTTTAGCATTTATTGTGTGCTTGGATTTTTAGTTTTATTTCTTCAGCGGGGTTTTAGATTTGCCATTACACAGCTTTAAAAATCAATGGAAACCCATTAAAACCAATTTTTGTATTAGTGTACATAATATATCGTTTCTAGAAGACTGTATTTTTTATTGTGGTTGATGAGAGGTCTAAAGTAGACGTTTTAATAGCAACACAGACAGACCAAATGAGGTTTGTGCCCATGGGGTTTGCGCTGGAACGAACCCTCATTTTCGCGTTAAATACCTTGTGGAATCATCAGCTTGAGTGCCCACTCTTCTTCCTTATTGAGGTAATCATAACATACTTAAACAATTATCAACTTATTAATGATACCACTGTATTCCAATTGTTTTAGATTATCTAAAGCTTATGTTTTGAGTAACTAAGTGTGCTTTCGTTTAATTTCTTTTAGCGAATTTCCCATTTAGGAAATAAGCTTAACGTAGTACTCATGGTAAGACCTGGACCCGGGACCGATTAAATTTTTTTGTTTTGAGGTCCCTAGAGGGCAAAACACCATCCGTTCAAATGTATATATGTGTCCGTTCCCGCGATAACTCGAGCAAAATTAATTTTCCGATATGGATGATACCAACGTGTAACCCTACGTTTATGTGGAACGAGTTTGCGAACCAGCATAATCTAACCAAGGGAACAGGGGTTTATGGGGGAGAAATTGGTTTTTCCCATTTTTGGTCCTAAAAACAAATTGGACTGAAATTGGATTGAAATTTCTTTTTAAACCGTTTTGTAGAGCTTAAAAAAGAAATAATTTAGTATATTGAAGCTCTGTTGTATGCCCAATGGTCACGGAGAAAATTTAAAAATAGAGTAATTTAAAATGTTATTATTCATGTTATTCTTATGGATAAAATTAAAACTGTTTAGTTTACTTTTTTATGAATATATGTTGATAAAATTTGACAAAGGATATGGTTTTGTGTATAGCACAAAATAATAACTTTATCTGTCAACCAAAAATATTAACTTTAGTTAAGTTTCAATATTGTTTTTTTAATATTTTTGGGTACATGGATTATTGATTCTTAAACTCATGGCTATATGACCCCTAAAATGCCATACGAGTAAATCCCCACTAAAAACTGCATTTCCTATATGCATTCATAACAAATGTGTGAAGATGAAGCATTGTAAATTAATGTTTAGTAATATTTAGTTGCATTCTAAATATTTAACGAAATAAATATAATAAGTATCAATAATAATATTTAATAATAATAATGTTTAATTTGCGTAAATCGTTTACTATAATTTATCAATAAACAACTGATATTAACAAATGTTTGAACCAAAAACTAATCCTGTTGGACCTGTTACGATGAGAAAGGCATTGGTTTTAAAAGGATAATTTAAGTTGAGTTGAGTTATTTTAGTCGTAAACGTTTTTCATAAATGCGCACCTGGCTTAAACAGTTTGTTTGGCTTATGGATGTGGGTTAGCGGTTTACTACTGGGCAGTTAAAAAGATACATGTACATAATCGTTTACCGTACACAGATTATCTTGGTTTTAGTATGTATAATTTCTATATCAGTAAGTAGAGGCAATATGCCGGTTTAAAGGCACTTGGGGCACGTTTTCCCATAAGAAATAACATGGGATCATTTTTTGGCCACCAAATCCAAAAATCCTGATCTTTGCCTAAATATCCCTATATAATTGTTAAACCTTATTTCTTACTTATTCCCCATAAATATATTCGATATTAAGCTAAAAAAGCTATTTCTTATATTTATTGACCCTTACAAGTGTAAATGTAGAGTAGAGGCAATATAGGGGTTTAACGCCACTTTAGGCACGTTTTCCCCATAAGAATAACATGGTGAGCTTTTTTTGACCACTTTTTTAAAAATCCAGCTCTCGGCCTATACAAGCCTATATAAATGTTCAATACCATTGTACAACTCCATTACTATTTCAAATCCACATGCATTCACATGTATATTCTCAAAATCATCAACTTGACAGTGCGAGGTTTGTACGCGAACTCGGGCGTGCTCCCGGCTCTTGGCGCGCTCCCTTGGACATCCTTAGTGGAAATCCATGAATTCTGGCTACTTGGGAATCCAAGCCATTTGACATATAATAAATCACCTTTTCTCCTAATAACCTTTTCTATCAAATACATGTGTGGTGAGTGCTTCAATACTGTTGAAAACCAGCTGAAAGTATAACTTTGGTTTTGTTTAAATGAGTTGCTATGGTTACCTAACAGTTCATTCCTGGTTTATATAATTCATACACTTATGTTTTTGTCATGCTTATTAAATTCTATTTTCTATCAGTTTCTTGAATAATTTT